AAAGAATACATAAATCAAATTTAATGCTTCTATAACTTATACATCAAACTCAACACAAGCTAAATTAGTAGCACTTATTTCTCTATTCCTCATTCTACCTGCCAATTATCAAATTCATATTCATTTGAACAGCTTATCTACTATTTAAATGCTCTCAAATGCATTACCCCACTATTACAATTTACAAACCAAACAAAATAATTAAAATATTATATATATGCTTAATTATTTAATCAAACTCAAAACATCAATTACATTATACACAAAGTTAAATTATATTTAAAAAATACTTTACACAATATAACTAATTTTCTAGCCAAACAAGGTGCAAACAAAACTAAATTAAAATTCAATTTTGATTATTTCTATTTATTTACTTACTTTTTTTGAAAAGGAATTTTAATCATATACAATCTATGTAAATTCTACAAGAACTTAATCTCAATTTAAACATTTAACAAACTCCTTCAACTCAAACTATAATGAAATCTTCTAATTATAAACATTTTATTATTAACTAAAATCATTAACTTCCAAAACTCCAATCTCAAACTATATTCTATTAGAAACAAAATACTTCTTAATAATTTACCAACAATATCAAATCAAAATATTCACTATTTTCTTCTTTATCTAACTCCAAATTGCTTATATTGCAATCAATATGAAAGTATTAAACACTTATTTTAATGTTTACTTCATTTCTGCAATCTACAAAACACTTTCACTAATAAAATCTCAAATGCTTTAAACTTTCTAAACATTACAAAAACCTCACTAAATGCAATAATACAAATTTTTACTATCTTAACCTTAATATATATAACATAATATTATTACTCATTCAGGATATAATAATTCTTAACTAATACAACTAACTTTAACCTATTCTAAAAAAACTAACTAACAATTTTCTTACTTCTTTATCTAACTTATTATTTACCTGAGTTAACTTTACTATCTGGCAAATCTATAACATTAAACAACATGAATAGGAATTATTATGAGAAATTACATTCTCTACTAAAAAGAAAAACAATATCAGATTACCTACTTCTCAACTTACAGACTCTAACAATATTACTTTTATTTTTAATACTGATATAAATCTCTTTATTTCTAAAACTTTTATTCAAAACTTTACTATATATATCTGCTTTTACTAATTAAATAATCTTAAGAGTTCCTTTTACTCTCTCTGTAGTTAAGTTCATATTAATTAACTTAACTAATAACTGTAAACTAAAGGATAATATCACACTAGATGTCATAGTATATAATAACAATAGTGTAGCTTAGAAATAATATTTTAGTTAACATTTATATCCAATTAATATATAAATGTATTCTTATTTTCCTACTTGATATTATATAAAAAAAAAAAAAACAAAAATTCTTCAATCCAAAAAAAGAAAATATATATATATTTTTACTACCAAATAACAATAAATATATAAAGATAAGTTAGTAAAAAAGAAACAAATCATTTTTAGTAGAATTTTTTTAATATTTAAATTTAAATAACTCAACAACTATTTAATTAAATTTGTTAAAAATTTTATTTTAATCTTAAAATTATATAAAATTAAAATAAAAAAAAATTTATCAAATTTAATATAATAGTTGTTAAGATATTTAAGCTTAAAGTCAAGAAAACTTTTATTTAGAAAAAATTGTTACTTTTCTATTGACTCACCTTCATATAGAAAAACTTTGCTAGCATATTAGAAACTAAAGTTAAGTTAATACATCTGATTTACAATATTACAACATTATAGCAGTTAAACTACTTTGAAACAAATAGTCAAATTCAATCAAGAAAATTACAAATCAAATTATATCAAAAACTTATACTATATATAAAACATACCAAGTCTACTTTCTTAAAGCAACCAAATTATATTTGGCATTCAAACTAACTAATAAATATTTTTTCAATTTGAGAAATAACAAACCTCTATTCTTAATTCTATTTATAATACAGAAGCTTAATAACTTACTTTAACAAATAGCTTTATATATAGAACAAACTATTATTTTATATCAAATATAGGACATAACTTTAAACTTTAATAACTTTTAGCAAATTTTAAAATAACTTAAAAAAATTTTATAAAAAGCATACAGTCTAAAAATCTAAAATGTACAAAAAGAAAAAATAAATTTTTATATACAACAAAGATATAATAATATAAAATTAAATACTTTACAAATGATAAACAGCATACTTAAATGTAATTAAGATCAAGTCTCTTTTAATAAGATTATAACATCAAACAGAATAATTAATAATCTACAAAAAATAAAATAAGCAACAAAAGAACACTTTAATAACTAAACTAAAACACAATTTAACAAAGCTTAACTTTGAACAAAAATGAACTCAATTTCTACAACCTTTGTTATATATTAATTCTAATATTTATAACAATCTTTCTCAACTAATAACAATCTTTGAATTAATAGAAATTATGGCTTTATTATTTTTACATAATGCTACTGACTCTTTAGAAATTTCTAATAAAATGATTCAACATCTATTTACATTAACAAAACAAATTTTTCTTTAGATTTTAATATATATCTATTAATTAAAAAAATATTAAGTAGCTAAAAACATAAAAAATATAGGCAATCTTAAATAATATTAAAATTATAATCTTTTTTATATTTAACTAATCATACTAATTGGACATACTTGAAAAAATTTTTACTAAAATAATTATCTATTAATTAAATAAGATTCTTACTTAACATCTAATTTTAAACTCAAATAATAATATTGCACTTCTATTTATTAATGTTTGTAGTTGATCCTAATTTATTGACTTAACTAAGTTAATATTTAAAAATTGACTTAGCTGGCTAAGTTGGAGTTGATCAACCTAATTGGTTAATTCTGAGTATGTGATTTAAAATAGATATGATTAGCTAATTAAGTGCAAGATACTTTATATATTCTTAAAGAAATAATCTAAACAATTAATTACTATATGTATAGTTTTATTTTATTTATTTAATAGTTTTATTTTATTTAATCAAATTTATAAAATAAAAAAAAATTTATTTTAATTTTAAACTTATTCTTATACACAAATTTTTTTTTTAACCTTTTGACATATGAGCTGTAGGATATGTATTACTATTTTTTATACACAATTTATAAATCAATATATACATTAATTATTTTTGAGTTTTCTTTTAAGAATAATAGATCATGAACTGAATCAAAGCTTAGACAGTTATATTTATTTGTTATAATATTATCTACATCAGAAAAGAGTTATTTAGAAGGTATAAAGTTTGCTAGAATGTCAAGAAAAATCTGTGCTTGCTCTGCAAAAAGAGATAAGGCACTTTTGTGTTTATTTTATTATTTTAATAGATTGTATTTTTCTAATGCAAGTCTTTTGAATTATATTTAAAGATTTGCAAAATTGAGAAATATATTTGAATTTTAGTATCAATTGAAGAAAAGAGTAAAGGTTCAATTTTTTTATTAAAAAAAAACATTTCTGTATTTAGAGTTTTATTAATATTTGATAAATTATTTGTATAGTAAAAAAGTTTAATTTCTTTATATAGTTCTTGGAACACCTTTTACTGCATTGTGAATAAAGCAGCTAACAATGTCTTAAAACAAAAATCTAAAAAAAAAGCAAGCCATCTGATTATTTTTGGATCATTCTATTGAGATACTATTGATTTGTGAATATCTTTGTATATTTTAATAATCTTAATATTTGTAAGTTTGTTTTTTATTGAATTTAAATGTTTAAAAAGATGCTACACTGTTGGATATATTATGCTCAATATTAAATACTAATCACCTTCTATAAATGTTAATGCTTTTGCAAATAGATATAAGAGTTGGCATAACTCTACTAAGCCTATACATAAGAGTAAAAAAAAAATTATAAATTTTTTTTTTTTATTAATAAGGCCAAGCAAAATTAATTTTTTTTGTTCTTATAACATGATTAGGCCAAATTTTGCTAAATTTAATAAGCAATTTTATATATATTTGCTATACAAGTAGTTTTCTGTAAAAATTAAAACAAAAATTTTTATTTTTATAATTTTTGAAAGCCTAGCACTAAGTTACATTTTAAAATTTTATAAAAACAAAAAATTATATAGTCTAATAATTTATTGTTAAGATATATATTCATGTTTTAATTTTTTTTTCTATTTATCCATTTTTTATTAGAAATCATCTTTTTATTTAAACTAAAACCATTGGTATAAATAGTATGGTTAGAATTATTTTTTAAACTTTTTGCTAAGATTTTTGAAATTTTAGAAGTCATAAAGAACAAAATAAGTAGAATTTTACCTAGTAGCTATATTACTTAATATGGATTTTAAAATATATATATCAATAGTACATTGATTTTCTTTTTTTTTAATTATTTTATATTGAATTTTTCAGAATAATGATTGATATTTGTCATGATTTACCAAACAATTATTTAATGATTTTGTATGTAAAATCAAAGTTTTATTTTTTTTAAACTGTCTGTAACCTCCAAGATGAATGATATAGGCTATACAGCCAAAGTAAGTGATGTCTAATTGTCTGATTGCTTTAATTATTAATATTGTATTATCAGTTATTATTGCTTTAACTTTATTAAACATATTTTATTTAGTAAAAATTTTGCACAAAAAATTTTCAATCCAATTTTCTGTATATAAATAGATAAAATGCTCAATTATTATTAAAGAATTAGTACATTGTAAAGCTTCCAAAAGTCAGTGAGCTGTTATGCTAATATATAGAACATAATTTTAAATTTATAAATTAGTAGTAATGCAAACAAAAACTATTATTTAGAACATTATTTTTTTTAATGTTGCATATGTATAAAGTGCTGATTTTTAATTAAGTTTTTAATTATGTTAGTACAAGGAACTTCAAACTGTCAATTAATCTCATAACAAAAATCTTAGAACTAATCATGATTAATACAATTCAATAGCATTATCTTCTCAACTATTCAAGCAACAAGCTGATAAGCAATATAATTTTGCTGTTTTTTAGAAAGTAGTAACATGTTTTTTAAGTGCTTTTGTATTACTGTTTCAATTGTTTTTTGATTGATTGCAGTAAGAATTGTAGTTGATGTTAAAGATAGTTGTGCTTTCTATTTTTAGATTTTAAAAATTTGGTGTTTAGTATGCAAGTGCATAGCAATATTAGTTATTAATATTCTAGCTATAAATACTGTTATATACTTTCTAGAAGTACTATTATTATTATATATACAAACATCACAATATTTGACTTTTGTTGCTTTATCACAGTAAGTATATTTCTATATTCAACTGCTTCTAGGTTTTTTTTTTTGTATTATATTTAGGTTTGAACTTTTGTTTATAAAACTTTCATAAAAAGTAAAGTAAAATGTAATAGACAAAGAACTTGTTGTATTATTTTCTTCATCTTTAGTATAATTATTACCTTTATCATCAGTAACATTTTCATTATTAATAATATTTCTATTATTAACAATATTTTTATAAAGATTATTTTCAAAATTAGAGATTTCTTCATACTCAAATGACATGTTATCTTTATTAGTAATATTATCAAATGATTGGTCATTAAACATTTTTAAGGAACAGATTATACCAGAACTTATAATAATTATATAAACTGGTTTTTGATTTTATGCAATGATAAGAGCAGCAATACAAATTTTAATGCATTATATTACTTTTTTTTTATACATATTTATTTAAACCAAATTATTTATTAGAGTTCAGATTACAGAGTTTTTTGAGTTAAAAAATACTATATTTATGCAAATTAACACTTATAGACATTATTTAGAAACATACAATTTAAAAATAATTAATAATTAATTTAGCCAAATTTAATTTATAGTTTTTTGTTATTAAAAATCTTTGGCTAAATTAATTATTGTTTTTTTTAAATTGCATGTCTCTAAATAATGCCTATAGGCATTAATTCATGCAAATATGATATACTTATTCTAAAAACTGAAATCAGTTATACTAAAAATTTTCTATACTTCAAACTAGATTTTATATTCTCATATACTAGTATAATATTATGCAGCTATAGTATTATACAAGTAACTTTCATTATAGTTATTTTATATTAAGAAAATACTATATGCATTTTATCAGTTAAAATTTGGTTTGTTAATTGAAATAAATCTAGTAACTAGACATAATTTAATCAAAATTAGACATTTGTTCAATTTTAATTAAAAATATATCTATTTAATTTAATTAACAATACTGTTTGAATATTTGATTCTGAATTTTTATTATGCCAAGTTTTTACTATATTAAAAGTTTGTTATAATTAAAATAGTATAAATTATATTATAAATATTTTTTTAAAATAAAGAAGTTTGATTCTATGAATGGCTATAGGCATATGAATTTGCATTAAAAAAAATTTTATTAAACAACAAATTCATTTTTATTTATTTAATCTTTGTTATTTTATTGATTACATTGTTGTTTAATACTATAACAAAAGATTACTTGTACTAGCACTATGTTTACAATGATGTGTATTTATGTAATTAGTATATAATATGGTTTGTAATGATAGGGTTTTGGACCTTGTATATAATCTTTAGATCAGTATGCATAATTTATTGCATTATTGTTAGAGAAATCAAGAAGTATCAATATAAATAATATTCTAAATCTGTATACAATTATATTAGTAATTATTTTTCTAATTAAGAAAACCAGTTTATGTAAATGCATATGCATTATTATATAAAATTTTATAACTGGTTTCAATTTCACATTGCAATATTAAAATTCTTGATAATATATATCTATATATATATATAAGCAACTTTGTTCTGTTATTTGATTAAATATAGATTTATTTATCATTATGCATTTGTTTGTAAAATTTGATTGGTTATTATAATTTTTATATGATCTTTGACTAAGCTAATTTTTCAAAAAATCAACTGACTTAGTTAGCTAAGTTGATAAAATTGACTAACACAAATCAACTACAAATACTAATATTTCTATCTATTCTTTAACCTATTTACATTATCTCTTATATCATAAAACATGCTAATATAACAAAAAACAAATACTAAATTTTAGTACAAAATATGTTCAAAGCTTATAATACAGTTCATATTTCTCTATTAATTAAAACATTTAAATAAATTTATTTTTCTCTTTCAATTATAAACTTATTAAATTACCTTTTTAATAACAAACAATATTCTGTTATTACAAGTATTGACTAATACAACACTATATCATACAAGATAGAATCAATTAAAAAGTAACTTTCTTTTTAATTCTATAAAGAATCTATTATAATCTACTCATCAACTGCATTAATACAATATATTAAGAATATCAACTCAATATTTATATAATTCTTCTATTATATCAATATATATTTTTGTAGCAGTCTATATAGATAATATAATATGAATAATCAAAAACAAACAAAAGCTACAAAATATACTAAAAACATCAACTTCTTTCTTTCTTATACTAACATCAAAGTTAACTTTTACAAATTAATTCTAGGTACTAATAATTTAGATTCTAATACTAATATAATATTTTAAGAAAAAAATACAATAAATATTAAACAAAAAGCAATATTTAGATATTTGGATATATGGCTTATCTGAGACTTATTACTTTAACTTACAAAAAAGGTTTTTATTAAAGATATTACTTTCAATTTAAACAAAATCAAATTTGTTAAAATAACTAATAAATAGGCTATATATATTATTAATAATGTTATCCTTATACATGTTACATATTAGATACAAAACATCTATCTATTAAAATGTTCTTATAGTTCTATTACAAATTTATTTACAAATATTATTAAACAAAAAGTTTAACTAGCTTATTCTATATCTAACTTCATTTTATATTATTTTAATATATATACTTTAAATATATTCTATAATGTTTAACAACAACTGCAAATTCACATATTACACTAACTTTTTAGATCTTATTTTGCATAAACATAAGTATTTATTTTTACTAACAACACCAAACAGTACTTTATTCTATATTTGCCTATTCTTATTTAATTAACTGTTTCTTGATAACTTATATTTAGTATTCTTATTTACCAATTTACTATCTATTTTTAATTCTAATTATATAGCTTCTAGATCAGAAACTATTCTTGAATTTATATCTTTCAACTTTTATTTCAATAATTATATACAAACTGCTTTTTAATTACTAATAGCAGAAACATTTATATCTATCATATACAAACCATTTTATTTGTCAATATGTATACATAATATATAAAAATATAATAATAATTTAAAACAACAAATATAGAAGAATTACTGTCTATCTTATAATATCAACATTGCTAGCATTATAAAAACTAAAATTTTACAAAACAATACATATGCTAAATTCTTTAAATCTTAACACTTTACTTATTATTAGTTATATATTGATAATTGTAAAGCTAAAACAGCTATTATAATTTAAAAACATCTTAAACCACACATTTACAAAACACTTAACTTTTCTAAATATGTTATTGCAATAAATATTTTTTTTAAACATAATTTTAAATTTTACATTATATTAGTTCATTTATTTTGTAATGATCTTCAACTTAGATTTTTTATTCAAAATAATATTATACAATAGATTTAAAAAGCAAATACAAATAATATACAACCAATAGTTATAAAGAACTTTAATGTCTCTAACAACTTATAATTATTATCTATCAAACTTAAACTAATTTATTTTCTTTAATACAATAATATATATAATTTAGCAAAATATATATAATCTTTGACTTCTACTAAACATAGTAACAAATATAGAAGTTATATTGACTATATCTGAGCTAATTATTTTATTATCTAATAACTAACTTTATATTATTGTTATAAATGAAAGCTTTTTTAATTTTCATACTATAATAATAACATAATATAGAAAATCTCTTATAAGTATATGCAGTATTCAAAAGAGAAATATAGCTTCTGTTAGATGTTGTTAAGAAACTATACTCTTCTTTAAGGCAGTTTAGAAAAAGTAATATAATACTAATAATTTTACTTTATTTTACTAATAAGAGATAAACCTTGTCTGTATGAATTACTCTAGAAAAGAAGTATCAATACAGTTTATAGTCAAGAGCTGTTTATTAAAGTAATTACAAGAAGAGTTATCTTTAGATTTCTGTTTTTAAAGAATTCCAAGATATGTTTACAATATTAAAGAAAGAGAAGTGTTTGTTGCTTAATCACATTTAGAGAATTTAGTAGAGTTTATATATCTGTAAACTAAGCAGTCAAGTGACTAAGTAACTAAGTAACTAGGTAACTAATCATTAAGTGATTAAGTAACTAAACAACTAATTAATTACTAAGTAACTAAAAAGTTCTAGCAACTAATAACTAATAATTATTAAGTGACTAATTATTAGCAACTAGGTGACTAAGTAACTAAGCAACTAAGCAATTAGGTGACTAAGCAACTAAGCAATTACTAAGCAACTGAAAAGTTCTAGCAACTACTAGTAATAATAATATAATAATAAAATAACTAATACTAAATAATAATAATAATAATAAAATAATAATAATAACTAATAATAATAAAATAATAATAATTTGTTTTATAACAATATAATATAAAGCTAAAAATAAATATATACTAATATAAAAAAAAAGTAAATTTTATTACAATATCAACAGAGTACAAAAAGTATATATAGCTGTGTATATCAAATTGATAGCAAAAAGAACAAGAAATCACTAAAGTTAACTAATTTAAGAGAAGAAAAAATTATTGCAAATAGTAAACAGATAGAATATAACAAGATAATTTATAGTCTTTTAAGTAGTTTAGTAATAATAATTAAAATATATAATAAAGACTATAAAAAAAGTATATAAGAAGATGTAAGCATAATATTATATTAAGTATTTAGAACTAAAGTAATCTAGTAATATAAATGTAATATAACAATATATAATAGTAATACAAAAAACTAAATAAAGTATAAATTACAATTTGGCATTATAAAAAAAAATACTAATTTGCAAATACTTAATTAATATTAAAAAAAAAAAACTAATTTAAAGTTTTATTAATTTGTTTAAAAATAAGTTTAATTAATAATCTATCAGTTATTTGAAAATAATCTTAGTATAATATAATACAGTTTTTTTATGTTTTTTAATATAAATAAAAATGCAATATATATCTATTTAAAATTTTTTTTTATACTAAATTAATGATCTAAATTAATTAATTAAAAATTGTAAAACTTATTAAAGTATCATTTAATCTGTAAGCTTTTCTAAACAAATTTGGCTAGAAAGTTTTTAAAAATATGTTTATAATCTATATTTTTTAAATTTTAAAATATTTAAATAAAATTTTATTTAATAATATTTGAAAATAAGGATTATA